TTATTGTTAATTGAATCTAAAAAAATACCTGTGATTTTTGCGATAACTTATAAATTTTTTTCATTATCTATATTTTTATGTCGAATTTTTACGTGAAAATTGAACTTTTATCACGCAATGCACCATTTTCACATTTTTCAATATTTTTTAATTCAGGCATTTATTTTTTAAATCAGGTATTTCTCTAGCAAATTTAATGCCGATTAAAAATAATTTTTTAATTTTTGGCTACAGCATACCTTGGACCTGTTCTGCTGTCCACCGCGGATGCCTTCATCACATGTAGGTCTCCAAAAAACATGCTGTAGCGCCATTTTGTTTTTTAGAATTTGATGTACAAAATGTATAATTTTTATACATTTTGTACATCAAAATACAAGTAATAAAATAAGTATAAAAAGATTTTTTGTATCGTGTAGTGTTTTAATAATCACTTCTCAAAGTAAGGTATGATTTTGAGGACTCCAGGGTGGACTAACCCCTTAAAGATATAAAAAAAATACAACATAACTATTTTATAAAATCTGAAATTTAGTAGAGCATTAAATTATTTAATACTATATGCAAAAAAAAATAGATAACTCTGATGGGGCTACATCTCATCAGACGCAATCAATTATATGCACAAATACAAAAGATCCTAAAATACTAGGAGCGGAATCCATAGATATTGCTCAAGATTCGAGATGGTCTTATTAAGCTAGTGCATGAACCAATCGGAGAGCCATATTAGCATCTTAAGACATTGCTTGAAATTGAGGATGCCATTACATGAAGCGCGAAAATGCGGAAAACAAAATTAATTAAACTTTACTAGATTTCCGCTAATTACTACGTTTCCGTGGGTTCTGTTCCGCCTGTTTTGATTTCCTAATATTACATGGATAATTTCCACGGAAAAGTGAAACGGTAACAAACACACTTTTGTATTTGTTTAAAAAAATTGTATTCACTTAATTCGTTGCAATTTTTATTAATATGCTTATCTTTTAGCTTATGTATTGAATACAAGCATTTTAATCAATAAATATCATTAAAAATTAATAATTTGTAATTCCCCGTTCCGCTCAAATTGGCACCATGTAATATTAGGAGATTAAAACAGGCAGAACAGAACGCGCAGAAACGCGGAAATTTAGTAAAATTGTTAATTTTGTCTTCCGCGTTTCGCGTTTGCGTATTTCTGCGCTTCATGTAATGGCACCCTAAGAACGGACTATAGATTTTGGCCTAGGAATACTAATTCAAGGCGCGCATGCACGCAGCCTAGAAAATATTAATGCGGTCTTGTTTTATAGAGTGCGGTCCACTTAGCGCTAAAAAAGGTTTCGAAGCTCTTGATTGACCAATCGGAAAAAAGAATCTTATTAATTGACCAATCAAAAAATGCTACGAAACATTTGTAGCGTTAAACAGAACAACAAATCATTATGATATCAAAATGATGTCAAAATGACTCCAGAATGATCATTAAAAGTCATTTTTCAATCATTTTCGACTCATTTTATGTCATTTTGACGTTATCGTGACTTGTTGTTCTGCTTAAGGCGATGCTAAAGCCTTCTGTTTTACCACATTTCCATTCGGTGAAAAATCTCTGTATTGGATGTACGGATTGCAAAAGTATTATTGCTTAAATTAAAGTACACACAAACAGGACCTCAGCTGCACTGGATTTCATGAAAAAATCGAAAAAAAGTTTCAGATTCATTAAAAATTCACTTACTTTTGGCTCGTACAGCTGTCACCTCAGATATATATTTGCTTGATATAAGAGTTGTAGAGTTCATATCTTGAAAATAAGCGTGCAGCTGAGGTCACATTATTGAAATAAACGATACCGAGTTTGTAGAATTAAGATTGAAAGTCTAGAAAAGAAATATTTCCACCGAATAGAAAATACGTGTATACAGGTGCTTTGCGAAGACTGGGACTGTCAACAGAGCCGAAATTCCATGTAGCAGTAGTTGCGCGGTCTTGCGATAGATGGTGCTGGCATATGTTAGATAAAAACAGATGTATGCGTTTGAGTAAGACAGAATGATATATATTATATAATGTAAAAACTAAATCAAAGATGTCACCACTATTATCGAATTTGAAATTAAAAAAGTCTGTACTATTGATCTTGATTGAGTTGGGTAATTGGTTTAGCATCCCCTTAAGGCGATGCTAAAGCCTTCTGTTTTATCACATTTCCATTCGGTGAAAAATTTCTTTATTGGATGTACGGATTGCAAAAGTATTATTGCTTAAATTAAAGTACGCACAAACAGGACCTCAGCTGCACTGGATTTCATGAAAAAATCGAAAAAAAGTTTCAGATTCGTTAAAAATTCACTTACTTTTGGCTCGTACAGCTGTCACCTCAGATATATATTTGCTTGATATAAGAGTTTTAGAGTCCATATCTTGAAAATAAGCGTGCAGCTGAGATCACATTATTGAAACAAACGATACCGAGTTTGTAGAACTAAGATTGAAAGTCTAGAAAAGAAATATTTCCACCGAATAGAAAATACGTGTATACAGGTGCTTTGCGAAGACTGGGACTGTCAACAGAGCCGAAATTCCGTGTAGCAGTAGTTGTGCGGTCTTGCGATAGATGGTGCTGGCATATGTTAGATAAGAACAGATGTATGCGTTTGAGTAAGACAGAATGATATATATTATATAATATAATGTAAAAACTAAATCAAAGATGTCACCACTATTATCGAATTTGGAATTAAAAATCTGTACTATCGACCTTGATTGAGTTGGGTAAGTTCGGATCTACAATAGAGTTTTAAGTCTTAAGCCATAAAAAATGGGCGAATCACAGTCGTTTATTCTTCTCGGAATTCGACTGTAATTGGTCAATTTCTTACGGCTTAAGGCTTAAAACACCTATTGTAGATCCGGGGTAATCGGTTTAGCATCCCCTTAAGTAGCGTGTCTGTATTCTCTTTTTATTTATATTAGGCCCAATCTATAATACAATTGAATAAACGTAGATGTGAATAGTTACGGGAGTAATAGCAGTAAATGTTATACATATAATACAACACATTAATTTACAATCGAGTAAGGCCAATATTACATGCATCCGTTTTTTGTCGTACGATAATTTTTTCAAGTCTGTCGATTGGCTATAAGACAGAGGTTCGAGATCCTCTCTGTCGCGCAGCCAATTGACATGCTTGAAAAATTCGTCGTATGACAAAAAACAGACGCGTATAAAGACCATTCTACATTGATCGTATCGTAGCGTCGGAAGCGTCGTAAGCATCATGCGACTTTAAAATTGAAGCATCGGATTGGCTGGTCAACAAGCTTGTAACTTGCGACATCTCCAATGTAGAATAGCCTTTATATTGTCTTAAAGATATGTCGTAATTAGACTGCGTTCGGAAACATCATCCGAGTGACCCCGTGTTAAGGTAAGTTATCATGTTAAGGGGTTCCGCACAATAAAAGGAATAGGAAACAGAAAATAAGAATTTCAACCTATCAGAAACTGTGTATTCCACAATACATGATTTCTGATAGGTTGAAATTCTTATTCTCTATTCCCTTGTCCTTTTATTGTAAGGAGCCCCTAACACGATGCTTATTTTCTTGCTGGGTTGCTAGCTGGATTAGAATCTTGCCACCGTATTGGCTGCAGTGCTGTCAGTGCCAGCATCGCAGCCAATACGGTGGCAAGATTCTAATCCAGCTAGCAATCCAGCAGGAAAACAAGCATCGTGCGCCGTAGGCTTTATTCTTGTTTAACATTGGGTGCATTCAGTACTACAACCGCTCACTGAGCGCTCAGTGCGCGGTTGTAGTACTGAATGCACCCATTGGGTAAATAATAAAGATAAAACGATACACGGGGGGCACTTGGGTAATGTTTCCGAACGCTCTAGTAAGATTACAACAACCTATCAGACAATTTCGATAACAGCAGTATTGATTATTTACCATGATGGATAGGACCAACGACATATATACCTAGACCAAGTATTCTGGGGCTCTATTCTTGAAAAGAAACGTATACGAAAGTCTAGGGAAATACTATAGTATACATAACGTATACTGTAGCATTTCCCTAGATTTTCGTATAAGTTTCTTTTCAAGAATAGAGCCCCTGTCCGTAACTTGAAACCGGATTAGGACCCGTGGTGTCTCTTTCTATTTTGATGAGAGCAGTGCGAGTGAAATAGCAGAGAGTCCTAAAACGCCACATAAACTGTCAATTTCCGGCTTCAACCCCCACCATTGAAAAACATGGGAATGCTCGGTCTATGTATATATGACTGCGTTCAGCAGACTCAACAGTTTTGCAACCGTTTTGTGATTCTTCGCTGAGACAGGACTATTCCTCTAAATCTAAAAGTATAATTCAATCAGCGCGACGAATCATAAAACGGTTGCAAAACTGCCAAGTCTACTGAACGCAACCTATGTCGTTGGATAGGACAGAGATTGCGTTCAAAAAGAATGAGAGAAATAACGCTATTAGCGCTATTTCTGTCATTCTATCTTCATCTTTTGCTATTATACATACTAGGAAATCGAATTTATAAATTTATATGCCTTAACTCTTAAAATTAACGACACATAATGGCGCGGATACATGACAGCCTTATGATTGGTTCACTTGTACGTTTTACACGGTCGTAGCCGTGAAAGATAAAATTGAGCCATTTTTCACAACCCAATTTTCAACCGGTATAGTAGCAGGTTAAAACTGCGCTTTACAACATTTCATAATCGCTAACGTCTACGTTTACGCAATTGTAGATCGGGCTTTAATGTTCTAACATGTAAACCGTCTGAAATGTCAGATGCCGATTTTTCTCAAAATTTTTCAAGTCGTGTCAGCAATCATTATCCACTGCAAATCCAATATATCTGACAAATCATTCTCATCTATCAATCATTATCTATTGCATCCCTACAGTCAATATCACGAAGCAAGATTTCACTATATATAGAAATTTTATTGTACAATAAATAAAAAGAATAAAGTAAATATTATAAAAGAATATTACAAGTGGTAAGACTTTTCTCATCGATAATTCCTAAAAAATAGAGACATACCAGAGCAGCACCTTGTTCGGCCCATTTTTTGTTTTTTTCCCTAAAAAAAAAAAGGAATACAATGTAACAAAAAAAATAGAAAAAAATTATTTTTCGTTTATTATAATTTACCAGAAAGAGGAGCCATATTTTCTGCCATCGACAGTAACAACGGAACAAAAGAGTTTACTCTCCTGCCGAGTATTATATACTGGCATTTTCTTACGATTTTCCTTAGTCCACTTAAGTAATCTAGTCTTTGGCAGTTCCGAGTCTGTTATATAACTGTTTCTCAAAAAAGCACAGCGCATTAGAAAAACATCTTCTTCTTCATGAATTTTTCTTTTATGAGAAATACTATTGTTATCTTTATCGAGAATTCCCGGCATTACTTGAAAACGACCTAATAAACCTTTAGCCTGAAATTCTTCACTTTTGGATCGACAATAATCATCTAATCTCCACACTTGACTGAAAAAGTTCATTGAATAAAAATAAAAAAAACAGCAAATAAGAAATAAACAAGATAAAACATTCACCATATTTGTTCCAGTGTTTGTGCATTGAGAAATCTTTTGCCTAGAGGAGATTCCTGAAGTTCCCGTAGAATATTCTGTATGCAATATTTTGTATTAGAAGGTGAATTGTCGCAATTAATTGCATGCTTTAAATACGACTTTATAACATTTTCCATCGGAAGAGAACCTTCTTTACGAAATACTGAGCAATTCCACTCAGCGGCGCGAGCAAGCATTATGCTACTACAATCTGTTTCTTTTTTAAATCTGTGGAAATATGTTTTAACAAATTAAACAAAATCTTCTGATAGACATGCGCCAAAACGTTACCTAAATATATCGGAATGTTTTTGAATGTCTTTAGATCCACCATTGGCAATAACTGGTATCGAAAGTCTAGCAGAAATTTGTTTGAGAACATGGTTGCGATTAGGATGCTGTGGTCTTTCCTCAATAGTACGACCATGGACAGCAATAGCTGCGATACCAGTGGAGGCAAGGATATCGCAAAGTAGAAGAGTTTCCTCGAGATCAGGCAAAATGCGTATTTTGCAAGTAATCGGTATAGTTACTGTCTCGATCAGTTTCCGTAAAATATCGGTCGCTTTCTGTGGTTCGCGAAGAAGAGATGCACCCATTCCTCCAAGTATCGAAAATTTCTTTGGACAACCCATATTAACGTCTATGCCTGCAACATCATTTTCCACCATACAAGCGACTTGAGCGGCTCTTGCTGGATCAGATGTACCAATTTGAAGAACAACATGTTCTCGTTCCCGAGAACAAGTACGAAACACTATAGTACCATCTGTCTTATCAATGTAATCAACAGTGCCTAAGACATCTGCAAATAATGATATTAAGTAAATCTAACAATAAAACAATCAATAAGATTACATTCAGTTATGTTATGTCGCTAATTAGATCACGATCATAATCTTAGCAAGAGGACAAACATATTACAAGTTAGATAAAAAAAAAAAACCAATTTGATTTTTAGAGAATCACTTAATTTTAGGATAATTGTACAGTTTATCACTGAGCGCCTCAAAAAAACAATAAAACTAGGCTTATTCGATACGTAAAATAAAAGAATCTGGCAAAAATAAGCGTCGCTCTGTCCCGCGAACCGAGATATTAAAGCCTATTCTACAATGTGATTTTTATTTCCTATTTCTTGCTGTTTGTCTCTTGCCATCTTAATCAAAAAGGCAAGAGACGAACAGCAAGAAGCAGGAAACAAAAAGCACATTGTAGAACAGCCATAAAAAATAGCAAAAAGCAAGAAACGGAAAACAAAAAGGACGTTGTAGAATAACCATATATAAGCATTATCCAAAAGTTGACGACTATTGAGGTTAGGAAATCTGTCACAGAGGCGAAATGAGATCTATATGTGTACTGTTGTATGTATGTACACACGGGGATAGGAATGCTTACCCATCTGAAGTTGCACACGTATGAGAGAAGACATAAGGTGTCGGTTTTGGGTCTGCAGGTTGTTTGATAATGCAGACTGGAGTCTATCAGGAGGCGGTCTTTCGATCATTGATTAATCTGTATTCTTATGTTTTATGTATTTGCGATTGTTTCGAGGTTCGATGCTTGATGTGTTCGTTTAGATTTATATTTGGTCGTGTGCGTACGATCATCTTGATCTGGATAATAAAGGATGCATTCTAATTTCTACAGTAAAACCTGTGTAAATCATTAAAATAATTCAACAGAAGGAATGAGAAGGCATGGATAGGCATTCCTGTCCCTGTGTATACATACAATCCTGTGTATGAGTTTCGAGTTTCCAAGTTGCCACGCGAAACGACTTCCACCAGTTTCATCCCCCCTCCCGCTTATGCTTAAGGGCACGATTTCTATAATTGTAGTACTATACCCATGTGCAACAGTACAATTATAGAAGTCGTGTGCCCCTTAAGCAGGGAGGGAGAAAGTTAGGTGGAAGTCGCTTCACATGGAAACTGAAAAATCGAAACCCATTACCCATGTACAATGCCTGCTTGCATCGCAGTATTTCGACAGACAAATTCCTAACCTCGATAGTCATCAACTTTAACGCTTAATACCTCGATTCACGGGATAGAGCGACGCTTTTTTTGCCAGATTCTTTCGTTTCATATAAAAACACGTCGAATAAGCCTGATTTTATTGTTTTTTTAAGTGCTCTGTGGTAAACCGTGTAATTACCCGATATCATTTGTTGCTGTTTAATATTAAATTTAATAAATATAAGGATGAAATAATTCCAAGAATACTGTGAGCGTCAAATGGAACGCAGCCGTAATAATGTATATAAATCTTATGCAATTCATCACTCCAGTTAAACAAAAGAAGAATTGTTTATTTTACCATTCTCTCGACGAATCGAACGAAGTAGTTTTCTGTCAATTAATTCCTCGGTGTACACTATATCCGCGCCATAGTCCAAGGCGAGCAAACGCATGGGAAGAGTTCCGATGCGCACCATAGGCGCCAGGATGAGCTTGTTGTTATAATCGAGTCTCTTTCTCGTAATCGATTTTTCTTCCATGTTGACATATGGATAAGTTGTGATTCATTCGAGAATATAAACGTTTAAGTACTTCTTCGTTTTCTTTTATAAGTGGCACTGAATCGAATCACGCGCGTACTTGATTATTTACAACACTCTCATCATACCCCTCACCAATACCATGGCGGATTCCACCATTTCCACTAATTCCACCTTGGAGCTACTCAGCTACCTGCTACCGCTCTCTAAGCTCTCCTCTCTCTTGACTCTTCTACCAATTCTACGGATTCTACCATTTCTACCGCCAGTACCACCCGAACGAAGCTGTGCGAAGCTGCCCGACCGCCGGGCGCCGAAGCCGAAGCGCCGCTCATGATATAAATATTTATTTACGCTTGCCGCCGTATCCCCTCCACATGCCGTAAAATGCCGTAAACGGGCTAGCTTAGCTAGCTAGAAGCTAGAAATGGCATCACTGCGCTGATCACTGCTCCACACTGCTCGTATTTCGTAAGTAGTAAATCGTAAGTGAGATATATTGACACTAACAATTTGGATGGAAAATTCGACCGACTATTCTCGATTGGACGATCATAAATTATTTGGAAAGGCAACGTTCGCGACAAGACAACGGTGATCATGGTGAGCGCGAGCAGTGTCGTGGCGCATCTCGTAAAATTGCTGGTGACTGCAATGTGTATGGGACATCTCGCTGAGCCCTACCGGGTGAAAGCCCTGCCGATCACGTGGTCCTTGCGTGCCTTTCGAATCCTCTTCATGCACTCGATTTTGGGAATCTTCAGATTTGGTAAGATGAATGCCTTTATGCTTTCAAATCTTGTGGTGTTTGCTCCTTTTTCAAAGACATCTCTTTTCTATTATATATTACAATCAGTCAACATAAAACCAATTAATTAAAATCTTTCCTTTAATTTTACTTTGTTCTTATTTTATTTATTATGATTATCCTGATTCTCTTTCAAATAAACCTGGAATGTTATTGTAACCAGGGTTGAGCATGTATTAAACATAACGTACATGATTTTTATATGTATAATACCGTATGTTAAAAGTATTATATACAGGGTGTCCTGTAAGTTTTGGCCAATCGCTTTTGTGTAGATAGAGCAGACTAAACTGAGTCGAAAAGTCCTCTACCATTTTGCAATTTTCGCAATAGTTAACGAGATATTAATTACTAAAAACTGCCAAATATTGATCTTGAATAATTTTTTACTTAAATACTATCAACTTTAAAGAAAAATTACAAGAGATAAAAACCCTGTATATATGTTTTATATGTACTATACATATTATACATACATATTATACATTTGTATTATAAGTAAGAAACTACTAGCAGCTTTAAATTGCACAACCCTGACTGTAACTCATCAAATAATATTGCGTTACTATTTTTCCGGTCCTAAATTTTCCAAGTATTTTTTTTTAACATACCTATGCTTTTTCTGGACAATCTGCTTTTTTTTTAATCGTTATCCTCTTCGTTTAAGATACAATCACTTATAGGTATGGGCCACCTAAGATTCCATGTCATAACTTGAAGGGGGGGGAGGGGTCACAATGAAGAGTGATTGATACAAAATGACACATAGTCGCATACAGTATTTAATTTTTGCGTCTGAATCAGGAATAGGAGAAGAAGATATTTGCTGCATTTATCAACGTTAAGGATTCATGGTAATTCATGCAAATTATTTGCTATCATTGGAACACGTGAGGAACTCTCATAAAAACATATTTGATTCTAAACTGTGTTTGTCTTAAATTCATCTTGTAGATTTTTACATTTCACTTAGTTATTCCAATAAAAAAATAGTGATATTTTAACTTCATGTGGGATATTAGTCTCTATATGTGTTATAATTACAAGATTTTATACACATCGGTAACTTGAAAGTTTATATCCTTGTGTACATTTAAAAAAATGTTTTAGTACATAATACAGCCACAATGATATTAGATTTTTGTCTACTTAATGTGAGTTTTGATAAGCACTATCTACTTGTAATTGCATATGTAATATTATTTCTTACATGTTCCAACAACTAATACAATTTATAATATGCTCATGTGAGATCAAATTATATTTATATACATTATCTTTACACAATTATAACATTGAATCTTATTATATCATTTTAAAGTCTCTCTCCCCCTCTCCCCCCTCCTTTCCCCCTCTCTCCTCTCTCTCTCCCCCCTCTTCCCCCCTCTCTCTCTGTTTAACTTAAATAATGTATATGTAACATATTTATCTTATGTAATTCTTTATTTATTATTTTAATGTTTCAGGAGTGCCATTTACTTCATCATCGACACCTACAGCAAGATGCTTCCGAAGTTTTTACGATTGGTTTTCCAGTGTCATTGAAATTGTTCCTTTGGCATTGCTGACATCTGGTATATTAAGCGCATATCAGATTGATGAAAACATTCGTACGTTATTATTGTTTCTTGGTACAATACCAGTATTTTTTCCATTAGCGATAAAACAGAAGGAAAGCCAAATCAGGAAACTGCGTTTCTTGACTAATATTACTGTCGTGCTGCAGATTTTAGCGATAATGATACTCGGCTTAAAAAATGGCAATTACAATGTCATTAGTTTAGTTGTTTCCTATACTTTTGAACGGTTTTTTGTGGAAGAATTTTGTTATCGATACAGTATTCCGTATACCGATCTGATGCAGTATTGCATATGCTTTGTGGAAGTTTTTACGGTATCAACGCTGAAGGAATTATAAAAAAAATAGGAGATTTTAATTTACCTGTTTGCCTGTCATCTATTTAAGGCAACTGTTATACAAAATTTAAGGCTCTTGATTAGATGTTGCGGCCACATTGTCTTAAACGTGAAGTGAAAATATACAGCTTATTTTCACTTCATATGTCATTTACTGACAACTACTTATTGACTGTCAAAGAGAGATAAGGATAACTCTGGTCTATTTTTACAAATACTTTAAAATCATCACATTATTTTGTTTCATCTAAATTCTCTTTACAAATGGTATGCAAAAAATTCGACATATCATTTCTCGCTTATGACGTCACATTTCAATATGACCGCGGCACCGGAATCAGAAGGCTTAACAAATTATATTTGATTATATTTGATACAAAGAATGTCAATTTTTAAGATATAATATAAAAAATCTACGCCTTTTGTTATAATATTAATCTTGCAACAATTGTTCGATAATAGCTGACACTATAATATACATATAACATTGATTTTGCTATCAATTTATAAATTAACAAGTCTTAATAATGTTTAGGGGAGAGTGGTGTAAATCGGACCGTGTTTCAAATAGGACCTTTTTAATTTAAATGAATACGATTAAGCAGATTTGCATACTTTTTATAATATCCTTATAAGATTTATTTTATAAAGTCCTTATAAGACATCAAACATGTGACAGCAGTTTGACAGTTCACTGTCATAACATTCATAGAATAGACGCAAATATGTGTTTTCAGCCATCGTACGAAAATTCTTTTAAAAAAGAAAATCTTTGTATATCATTACTTAAAAATTCAAATTTTGAAAAGTAATTGATTTAAGATAATAATTAAAGAGTGCAATTCAAAAAAATATCAAATGTTTTGCGGTTTATTGTAAAATTTGTTACAAAGTTTGAAAGGACCTATGTCCAAATCGGACAGTATAGTAGATAACTTATAGGCCTGGTTGTAGTACTGGTAATCGGCCGACCAGATCTAGTCCAAGGAATTAAATCAGTAAATAAAACTAAATATATAATGCTTACTTGTAACTAAACAGTATAAATGTGACACTAAGGTATATGAGCAATAGCTAGATTACAGTTACTAAAACATAATATTTCAAATAACATCAAATAAAAACATACATTTCGACCAGAACATTCTTAAATTTTTAAATCAGTAAAATATCATGAGTCATCAGACTCAGATTAATTGAGTTTTATTGATTTAAATTCTAATAAAAAATATAAACTGTCAGTAATTTTTTTTCTGAATAAAACTGTTATCTTTGACTGTCAAATTGCTCGTTTTTACTCAATACTAAAAATACATTAAAATATTTTAAAATTCTATTTAAAAGTCCATAAAAATAGAAGTGTCCGATTTGGAACCATTAGAAAAAGCGTTTTTACATTTTCCATTATAATTCTGATAATTCAATACAGGTGAGGGATACGTCAAAAAATTGTCTCAAGCAAGAATGGAAGGAATTAAATGATCTTTCCAACCTTCGATTTTACGATCGGACTTTGTTTACGTCTATTATAGAGAGCAAAAACTGCAAATAGGTCCAATTGACCTCACTCTCTCCTATACTAAATTTTCATATATATTTTACATGTGTCAGGAGGTACTGCCAATTTACAAAACAAAATAATTATTACACTCTTTAACACTTTTTTATAGAGGGATTACCTTAAGGGGGGAATCTCATTTAGAAGAGCCAAAAGTAGATGATTTTTTAGAATTTTTTTTTTTTAGATAACATAAAACCAACTGCTTCCAAATTTTAAGGACGTTTTATTATATATTTCAACTATAAAAAAATAATTTTTTTGTTAAATAATAATGATTTTTTGTTATAAAAATGGAGGTATGATTATAAGTCTGTTCCATTGTTGTTGTTCCGTTGTGTACACTCTAGCGGTCGTAATTTTTATTTGAAACAAAAAACCGAATTTGTGCTTTATTTTTATATTATTATCTTCTAATTAAACTAAAAAAATTGAAAGAAAAGCAAAAATTAAAAAATCTACACGACTTTAAAAAAATATTTACAATTTTTTTCACCAAAAATTTCAATACTTCCTTTAAAAAAAAATTAGTATAATTTAACATTTTTTAAAATTATTTTAATTCATATAGAAGAGGCACTAATTATCTATAAAACAAGACTAGAAAGGATTCAATCGGCTTATTAGGTTTTTTTCTATTGTGTACACAAACTCGAAAAATACGGTTTCGAGAAAAACGCGTTTAAAGTTTTCGGAACGCAAAATTACTAATTATTGATAATTTACAGCAATCACAGGCTAATCCAACCCCATATAATAAACCTTCAGCTTCCTCTGTATAAATTCTGTATAAATGCAGTGGATATGCGTTCGGGGAGACATTATTCGCGCTAAGGACGCAAACGATACCAACGCTGTTCATGGAGCCAATAGCGCGATAGCATTAGCAAGCTCCATGAACGATCCTAGCGTAACATTGGTAGCGTTTAACTAGAGAGATATATTCGTCGAAGTTAAATTAATGTAGGATATTCTGTTTTCAATCACCAACCAAACTTTTCTCTAATTTAAATTTTTAGGGTTTTGTAAAGTATTTGTAACATAAATTTTTAATTTTCTCGTAGTGAATAACAAAACGCAATCTCAATTGCAATCTCTATGATGGCTTACCGCTAGGCCGGAGTGAACAATGTAAACTAGATAAAAAAATTAATAGTTACACTGAGTAAATTAATCAGATAAAAGGAAGAATCCTTGAGCATCCGTTGTCGATTTGAGAAGAAGCGTATCTACATCTAATAAGGACCACAAATATCCGCAGCGGAATATCCTGCCGCGCTATACCGCAATAGTAACTTTTTTCCGTACGCGGGAATTAAAAATCGCCAGTAATAATAAGATACCTTTGACTTTCACATTTATAATGAAATCAAATACACAAGTTGAACTCTGAACAAAATTTTGAAAAGTTAAAGATGATACACAAGCAAGAATTACTTTCACTCCAGCCTAGTGGCAAGCAGAGATTGAAATTGAGATTGCATTCACTACGATAAAATTAGAAATTCACACGTTACGTACGTACGGTTACTCTACGAAATTCTAAAGAGAGAAAAGTTTGGTGCCACTCGAGAACAGAATCCCCTCAAACATTAATCCAACCTTGACGAATGTTAAACGCTAGCAATGCTACGCTATTAGGGTCGTTCACGGATCTGTAAACGCTAACGCTATCAATACACTACCTCGGAAGGAATAGCGTGTCACTGACTACATTTACACGGCACCCTTAATCGAGTTTAATAACATCCGTAGTTATGAAACTGGCCAATCACAATCATTCCATTCTCCCGAGGAAAAGCTATGATTGGCCAATTTCATAACTACGGATGTTATTAAACTCGATTAAGCGTGGCGTGTAGCAAAGATCATAATTATAATCGTATTTGTTAGCGCTATCTATAGCTCCGCAAACAGTTTGTAGCGCTAAATAGCGCGAATAGCGTCTCCCCGAACGCATCTTATATAGTATATTATCTACACTCGCACTGCTTAGTTTTCTCGCGGAGGTACTACCTGCACGACCCATGACATTCTCGAGGCTGTAACTCGCAAAATATTTCGAATATCGATCTAATATTTTAAGAGAACATTCTCGGGGAGTGCTACTATCGATTAGGACAACTTTTGAAAAATTGATATTTTTAACCCTATAAATGAGATTTCCCCCTTAAATAATCTAGCTGAATAACTCGAAAATATCTAAGCAGCAACTGAGTCCTCATTTGTTGGCAACTTGATGCCTTCACGATATGATAACATTGAGTAGCAACTTGCCAGCACTTTGCCGACAACTGTAAAATCAGGGTTGGGTAGTTAAAACTTTAAAATTAAAAAAAAAAGTTAAAAAGTTAATAACTTTTAACTTAACTTAGTTAATTTTAAATACATTAATTTTTAACTTAATTTAGTTGCTTTTAAACTTTAATTTATTAACTTTTTTTAAATTAAAAATTTTTCTATCTCTCCTAATATTTTTTTTCTTTTAAAGTCAAATATTAGAGAATTAATTTAGAAAAAGTTCAATGATTTTATGATGAGAAATCTATAATAAGAGCCACACCATACGGCAGTTTTTATTGACTCGCTAGGTTTTGTCAATTCCCGCTTATATTTAAATCACACTAATTTTAGGTATCATAAACGTTATATTTCAGCAACATAAATATGAAATAAGCCTTAGAAGAATTGTTGTAGAACAGTATGCATATCCACTCATTTTCTAAATTTTTACGTATATTTTTTGCAACAAATATCTAGTCGATGTAGTCGTAAACATGCATGAGCAGTCATTTCAGAAGTTAAAGAAAGTTAAATACAGGTTAAAGAAAGAGAAATAACGCAAACATGTACCCTTTTCTCTCGCAAGATTTTGACAAAAACGCCTTATATAGTGTGATTCTTATTATA